CATTTGTATTGCTATCATAGATTTACCATATAATATCAGCTAGTACAATATAACTATTTTGATTACATTAAAGCATGGGAAAAGTTTCTTTTCGTTAGATCAGACACCCATTCCTGGTTTATTTGGTTCAGGAAGGGGATTTCTTTACATTTCCCAAAATGGTTTTCTGCATGGTTCCACAACTTTGGACCAGTTCACGAAATATTACCAGAAAAGGCACAAAAAGCTTTCAAGCTTTTTTCTGAAAAAGTCAGCTTCCCAGAACCATACAAGTTTATCTATTTTATTGCATCACAAGGAATTTCTTGGATAATGATGTGGCAATATGATTTAGCAAAATTAGAATATGATTCATCAGTCCAATTATTAATCCGAACCATAAAGGTCAAGTGGTGATCAATTTCGATCTCAATCTTCTGGAAACTACAAAAATCAATCAATGGATACAAAATAATGTTCAAAGTCCCAAGCTTACTAAAGAAACTCTTAAAGAAAAATAGACTCAAGAATTTCTTCAGCAGAAGGCAAGATTTTTAGCCAGTCTAAGTGCAGCAGGTTCAGAAGAAGAATTCAAGAAAATTATTGAAACTATTTCACCAGAAGTCACAAGTATTACATCAGAAAAAGATCGGAGAAGTTTAAGTCCAGTCGAAGATGATGACTATGACTTTTTTGATAATGGAGATGACTGTTACGGAATATCTCTATAGAAGACAATATAAGACTAAAGCAAAAGAAGATTTGACAAAAGAAGAAGTGAAAAGACTAAAGCAAAAGAAAACTTGACAACGGATTTCACAAAAGAATAAATAATTGCACTAGAAGACAATGGACATGAAAAAAGAAGAAATAATTGCAAGAAATCAAGGACATCACCAGATAAGAAGGAATCTTAGAATAGTAAATTTTTACGCTATAAATTGTAAGCTCAAGCTCATTTGAAAGCACGAGTAAATGACCAATTCCAATAGTCTTAAGAAAAATCCTTCTAAAGTTTTTATTGTAAGGTTCCAATTTTCTTGAAAGATTGTACAAGAAGTTCTACTATATTTGTAAGTTTCTTCTACTTCGAAATCAGAACAATACCGATCCATATATATATATATATATATATATAACTATGTTTTATGTAAACCAATTAATTAGCACATATTTGTTTCAAGAATTTTGTGTTAATTTTATATTTTGGCAACTGCAAATTTATTACTGTAAGATATAAAATGGTGGACCAGCATTATAATTAGTCATCCTTACATAATATCTATTATTGTAAACTTACCACATAAATGCAACACATGCCGAAATTAAAAAGAAAAAAGTATTGTTAGGAATCTAAGCAGCTAGCGCTTGGTGCAGATCTGAGCCGGATTGTTTTGCAAAAGTAATTAAATTTCTTGACAAAATATATATAACTTCACTACCCGTTTATTAAATTAATGCAATTTCTTAATTAAATTTGGTCTCCAATGCATGACAAAAACAATCCTGCGTGTTGTAAGCAAGTTATGTCATGCTTTGCATCACAGTACTAAGGAGTTCATATACAAAATGATTTGAAATTATTTCTGAAAATTTACAAATATATATATATATATGCATAGAAGAGAAATAATAAATTGAAATGCATGATATATAAGAAGTTCTATCATGATCCGTTACCAGTTGGTAAAATATTTTATTTATAGGTTTTATTCCTCATAAACTTCAACTGTAATTTTCTCTAACTAAAACTTGTACAAGAGATTTAGAAGACAAAAAAAATTTTAAGAATATTTATGGAGAATAATAACATGCTTCACCTTATTTTATATTAATTTAGTATATCATGCGATTGAAAAGAATGTTAAGTCAAGAAGAAATTTTTTTCTTTATAAATTTACTATGTTGATGGATTGTTATTTCTTAGAAGGAGTAATATGAGAATGTGTCAAATCACCTCCCTCATGTGAAAAGAAAAATTGAAAATCCAGGTGGGTAGCAAAGCCCATAGCTTCACATCCAAACCACTTTTAAATAAAATGCATGAAATTAATTAAGTTTATTTACAGGAGAGATGCATAGTATAGGTATTAATGCTATTTTTAGTGTTTACTGGTCTCTGTAACAACATTAAAAACAATACATTGTATATAACAAAAGCTAAACTGATTTTTCAGAAATGAACATCTTAACTTGATATATTTATCACCATAGGTAGGTACAGCATGTGCAAACCGACATGCAGAACGGGTCTTTACAATCTATTAATGAAAAACAGCGATGTAATGATTTTAAATTACGTAACAACCATTGCATGAACTTAACTAACATCTTGCAAGGCAACGATAATTTTATAACTTTGTTCACAAAGTGTAGATATTCAGTCAATCTAGTATAATATTTGTCATTGCATTGCAGGTAGATGCAGAATGAATATACAATTAATGCAAACAGTGCAGCGAATCATCAAAGAAAATTACAATTACAATATTATTATTATGGCCTTCATCACGTAACGTGTCTCGGGGGTAAACTGTTTTTTTTATTGTGTGACAAAAGCAAGGCCACGCAAGCAGATTATGTGATGCTTTGCGTCACATACATGTAGATGCTACAAATACTAAATAGAATATAGACAGAAACAAAGTGAAGAATCATTCACCAGCTTGCTCTATAAAAGGGCGCCAAGAGTTGGCCATTCTCACCAGCCTTATCCCAATCAACCCACGAAACTAAGAAAACCAGTTATCTCTCAGTTTCTACAACTAGGCACCCACAATGTCTGTCGAACCAGCAGCCTTTGTGCAGGGAGAGATTTTTCGAGAATATATTGGCGCCAAGCCTTCCCCGAAATTGACAAAATTCCCAGTTGAGATCATCAATCCAAAAATTTCAGAATTTCACTTCATTTTGGCCTTTGCCACAGACGACTACGACCCTAGTACGGGAAGAGGCAAAGGGAATTTCAGACCATCTTGGAATGTCAGTGACTTCAGTGCTGTCAAAATCAAAGAAATGAAGGCAAAATATAAGAATGTGAAGGTGGTAATAAGCATTGGAGGCCGTGGCACCAAATATCCATTCAATCCTGAAGACAAACTACAATGGATTCACAATGCCAAGAAGTCACTCAGAGAAATCCTTGAAGTCGACTACAAGGACGATTGCGGTTGCGTTACAAAAACCGTAATTGATGGCGTTGATATCAACTATGAGCATATTGAGTCTGATGGCTTTGTTGAGTGCATCGGAGAAATTATAGAATACCTGAAGAGGAAAGGAATGATGGTGTCCATTGCTCCATCTGATTCAACTGATCCAGCTAATCCTGTTCTAACCAACTACAAGAACTTGTACAAAGACAACAAAGAACATATTGACTGGGTTGACTACCAGTTTTATGATCAGACTGTGTCCACAACTCATGCTTTTGTAAATCTCTACAGAAGCCTTTCTGATTTCTTTAGTGTTAAAAAACTCTTGGCAGGGTATAGCACTGATCCTAACGATGCCGGTAAAATATCACAGAAGGTCTTCTTTGAGGGTTGCGAAATTCTCCTTCGAAGTGATTCACTCCCTGGCATATTTGTTTGGGATGCTAATGACTCCAAGGTCCTTGAAGAACCTTACTACGTTGAGATAAAGGCACAGCAACTCCTCACCAAATCTGAGGATTGATTATCAAATCCAAAAGCCTTGTGCAACTGTATGCTTAATTTCTATCATTTAATTCTGTGTTTATGGGTCACTGACTATAATAGCTGCACGTGATGTATGTGCACGCCCATGCTAAACTTATAGTCTTCAAGCATATTCTAAATAAGACCTGAGTGTATGCCGTCTATTTCTTTATCTAAATAACTACGATTATTTATGTTTCTTTTCTGTCTGTATACTCTTGGTGTAATTCTCTTGTCATTTACTTTTTTAAATTTGCCTATTTTGTATTTTTTCTTTTTTTCTTGTTTCAAAATTTTGTGAAATATCTAGTATATTATAACTTAATTTACTATTAATTATATCTTAACATCGATGATTGAAGATCGGAACAAGTTAATTTATAGTTAGCAAAGTGTCAATTTCATTAAACACTCAATTCCATTCACCCGTATTTCTGTCAGCTATGTTGTCTTCTATTTGCATTCTGTCAGTTGTCTTCTATTTGCATTCCCTCTTATACCAAGAACTGCAAGCACTTCAGGGGAATCACACTTGGGACATCATTTCTTTTTGGATACCGAGCCAAGAATTGCAAAATCCATATCAGGTTGATTCCTAAATTCGAGGAGCAAATTTTTCAATTAATTGTATAGCTAGAATCAAGGGATTAATATCCCTGATTATACATAGTTGGTTTTAATTTCTTTCCTTTCCTGTAAATTAAATTGAGAACGTGTTTCTCTGAACCGTGACAACAAAGTAAATCCCCATGATCGACAAGCACAAAAAATCAAAGACTGAAATTAAAAAATCTTAAATCTTTGAAATATCAAAATCTTATTTAATTAATTTTGTATTATATTTCTAAATAAATCATAAAAGAATTAATATGTAATTTTTGGTATTAAACTTTATAATAGTTCCCTATTTATTTTTATTAACAATATTTAAAATATGAAAAATCATATATTTAATAAATATATGTCAAATTTAACTATATCAATTGTGAACTAATGTTGAAAAAATAATTATATATTTTCCTAGATATTTGCTTGCTTTAATTATTTTCTAAATGAAAAAAATATTCAAAATTTTTTGTTTTCAAGATTTATTTGCTATTTAATTTAATTTTTTTATAAATTACAAAGAGAATTAAAGAATGTTAAGAAAAATAACTTATAACCTTCATTTCAATAAGTTTTTCAATATAATTTATCAAAATAAACTCTTTTCAGCTTATTTAAAAATATATATTAAACATTTAATAAAGTTGTATTTCCAACCACCCCCATAGAATATAGTAAGACGGTATATATTACTACTCAATTAGATATTTGTCACTAACTGGGATGTTCAATGATGTAAATACTAAATACTTCTACCACTTTGGAGTTTGGGTAATAATATATATAACACAAAGCAACAAGATGCTAACTAATAGAACAAACATTACTATAGACAAAATTGGAGGCAAAATTTATATTTCTCTACAATGTGAAACAAACCGCCTGCTCGCAGCGCTCAGTTGCTCGTAGATTAAACTGCGTAAAAGTAAGACGATAGATTAGGATGCCAGGTATGCTACACTGAGATTCACAAAATTGATGCCGAGTTCCCTATCAAAGTTGAAAACATTCTCCTTAACTGGTTCCACTACAAGTAACAGAAAAATTACAAATCAGAAGCAATCCAAAAGATAAAAATGGACACCCAAAATAAATATATATCAACTGAGATATCTATTTATCTATTATCTAAACATACATGCATGTATAACAAGATTTATAAAATTGTCCACCACAGATCTTGGTCCTTGTCTTTCTGCCTGTAAATTTGACAATAAAGGTGTCCCTCCTATGCCAACAATGTCTGCAAATATCATATCAAAAGCAGCATATCAAAACCACCCAATAGCTATTTTCATTACTTGCATGGATTAATTCAGCAACAAATTACATTTTTATCTGGTGACCATGGCAGTCATGCATAATCAGATTCATTAGAAGGGCTGGATGCAAAATAACGAAGCAAAAGATTTATTTGCAAGAACAGTGTGTTATAAAGAAGAAAAACATATCTCAAAAAATTACGAGGGAAAATGAAGAATGAGGATGATAAACATTGGTTTGTAAATTCAACAATGTAGGAGTCAACTTTATGCTGCACGACAGAATCAAGAGACATTTAAAGACTACCTTGTGAACACACACCTGGCAAGCTGAAAAACCAATAGCATCTTATATCTATAAGTACATAAAACAGAAAATTGCATTTTACTACCCTAAAGCATGTGCGACAGATGGGTTGCTTAGCACATTTTATGAACATTAGAGATCAAAATGCACCTCAACAACCAAATCACACATGATCCAAACCTTAAGATACTAATTTGCATTTGACCTACTGATTATCCTGAAATTCCTAAAGACGTATGCCAACAGCAAGAGATAATAAAATGGTAAGTTACAAGCATGAAGATGAATGATATGCAAGAAAATTCACTAAAGAAATAATGGTGTTCAAGGCTTGAAAAACTCACGCAAACCAGTTTCTCACTCCACAACATCCTTCTTGACCATGGTTATCTTGTTAAGATTTTCAGTCGTTCAAATGCACATTGTATTTTATGCCTTTCTTCAATTGCCATACTGATCTCCCCCGATGACTGCATAAAAAACAAAAATGAGCAAAGAAGGGCTACTATAATTTCTGGGAAACCAAATATATTAACAAGACCAGAAAAGTGAAATATATCAAAACAATAAAAAAGTCAAAGCTTAGGATGTATCTGTTGAACTGGAAAATTGCAATTTTCCATTACCACCAGACTTCAATCTAACAAAATCTACTAGCTTGACTATCTCTAACTTACATGGACCTTAGTATAGGTGCACATCAAACTATGAAACCCTTAAGTCAGCCTGAGCAGTGTCACCACACATGGCGCCCCACATTGAACCACCCTAATTTTAGGACTGATGTAACTTGAACTTAATTGTAATGCAATTCTAAGAACAAAATTTATCCCAGAACAGAATTTTCAAGTTGGTTTCAGAGACTCCAATCTTGGGGTCCCTGATTCCACACACCAAACTTTAGCCACCTTCATCACGACACCCAAACCCTAGCAGCCCATCTTCATTACAGCATATCTCTAAACCTGAAGCACCTTCATTGTGCTTAGCCTCTTCTTTTTCTGACTCAGTCATAGGATGTGACTAACCGCGACTGCCACTCTTGCTGCTGCCGGATCATTGATCAACTCCAGTGACCACACCATCTGGAGCTCACCACCAAGACTGACCTATCCCCAGAGTTTCATCCTTGACAGAGCTTCAACACAGCACCACATAGTAGGGTTTCTTGTCAGCACATAAAATTAATATGCCTCATTCCCGTCCTCCATTTGCCTCACCGCAAACACCAATCTGTTCGTTGGGATGTCCTCTATTGATTATGATCCTTTGCTACCCCAGCTGCAACCATTGAGGATGTCATTCCTTCAAACCAGCAGTGTTCTCTCTTAAAACATATGCTTTCTCCACAATGGCTAAGCAAAAAAACTTTGCTACTTAGCCCATTGCCTCCCTTAGGCCTAATGACCTTCCCATATTAGGGCAATCATACCATCTTGATAATCAAAACTATCTATAGTGGGCCCAGTTGATCTGCACAATTCTTAAGGGATGTAAAATGCGGTTCACATTAAAAGGGAGGCTGCGGGTAAGGATGATCCAAAATTTGAGGCTTGGGATGATGACTATTCTCTTATTATGACCTGGTTATGACATTCTATGACTATGGAAATTAGTCGAAAGTTCTTTACTACTGCCAAGGAGATATAGGATAACTTGAACCAAATCCATTCCAAAAAGCAAGAAGTTGCTGCCTGTTATTAATTGAAGAACCAAATTTTTAATGTCAGGCAATGGTCTCTTCTGTGACACAATATTATGGAATTCTGAAAAGACTATGGATTGAATTGGGCCAAACCCAAAACCTGAAGATGAAATGCAATGAGAATTCTACTACTCAACAAGTTTATTGAAAAAAAGGGATTTTTAAATTTCTTTCTGGCCTAATTTTTAAATACGATTCCATTTGGATTCAGTTCTAGGCAAGAAGAACCTCCCTCCTCTGTCAGAAGTTCTCCACACTGTCAGAGGTGAGGAGAATCGCAGGGCTGTAATGTTAGAGGAAAAAAACATGGATGGTTCAGCACTAGCATCTTTAGAAAAGTCACCGAAGTTTGGAACGTTTGTTAAGTTCTCTGAAAAACCTAACAAAGATGACCATTGGTGAACTCAGAGCAAGAAGCATAGTCACACCAAGCAAACCAGCTTCAAGTTACATGTTAAGAAAGATGTCCTTAAATGCATGGGAGGATTCAAAGGGTTCATATAGAGACATGCAAACCAAACAGCTAGTGACTCAGAGGCTGTTTCACTTGAGGAAGAAGAGGAGATTCCTACTCTTAGTAAGATAGAATTAGAATGCCTACAAGCCTTTATTAGCTCCTCTTCATGTAACTCCTTGGGTGTGGTAATATTCAATTCACCAATTCTAATTCACATCACATTATAGGTGCTAATGATTCATAAATTTCCATTCTTAGGCATGGTAATATTCAACTCATCAAATCTTTTCTATTAAAAAATGTTCATGTTCTTAAGCTCTCTAACAACCTTATCTCCATTCATAAACTCACTCATAATCTAAATTGTGCAGTGATCTTCTTTTTATCTTAGTATGTTTTTCAGAATCTTTCCTCAAGGAGGATGATTGGAGTTTTTGAGGAACAAAAAGGGTTGTTACTTTCAGTCTATGCAAAATGAAGTTGACAGTGTTAGAAGAAAGAGGATCAATTCTTGTGATCAATCTTCTTCCTAGTTCTCTCTTCTCAAATTTGGCTTCAATATAGGCTTTTTTAGGCCATTCATCTTTTAGTTTGCTTAAGAGTATGTTTCCTTCTTTGTTTTCAAAAGAGTCTGTTGATCCTTTCCATTGTGATGCCTGTCAGTTTGCTAAATACCATTATGTTATTTTTCCAAAAGAATTTAATAGAAGTAATAAACCTTTAGATCTTATCTATTCCGATGTGTAGAGACCTACTCCTATTGCTAATATTTATGGTGCTAAATGGTTTATATCTTTTATTGATGACTGCACAGGTGTTTTTATCACTTAAGTCAAACACAATTTGTACAAGCAATTAAACACTTAGGGATGGATAATGGATGAGAGTACGTGAACCAGAATTTATCTCAATTTCTACAAGAGAAAGGAGTTGTTCATGAGTTGACACTTAAAGATACCCCTCAACAAAATGGGATGCAGCAAGAGAGAATCGTCTTCTCTTGGAAGTTGTAACGCCATTATTATTTCAGATGAAAGTGCCAAAATCCTATTGTGAAGAAGCAGTTTTGATGGCTGCTTATGTAATCAAAAGGTTACTAGTTGTATTTAGAATGACTCTACTTATGTTCAGTCAATGTCTACCTTTCACTCTTTTGTTCCTATTATGAACAACCTTCAGTTTCGTTACTTTGGTTGAATTGTAATTGTTCACATTCACAGTCAACATCATGAAAAGTTGGATCCTCGTGCTGTTAAGTATATTTTCATAGGGTATATTCCAAATTAAAAGTGCTATAAATATTATTACCCTCTGAGTTGTTAGGTCTATCTCTCATAGATGTCACTTTTAGTGAAACAGTCATTTTACCCTTATCCCCCGCTTCAGGAAGAAAGTCATATGGAAGCTGATTTTTGTTGCTTCTCTCAATTCCATGTCATCTACACCTACATCTACCAAAAGAGAAGAAAACCCAACCTAGTCCAACAACAACTACAAATCGGCCAAACCATGGCTAAGTTCTAACTTCTAATATCATTGATACTAAGTCATTAGATATTCTTTTTGTTAAGAGAGAAAATATTAAATCTGTGTTTAAGGGCACAACGGAGTTATTTCAATTTATAGAGAAGAGTACATAATTATAAAATATACAGTTACTATATTTACAAGATTTTAATAGATTCTAACACTCCCCTTCAAGCTGGAGCATATAGGTCATATGCACCAAGATTGTCACATATGTAGTTAATCCGAGGACACCTTAGTGACTTAGTAAATATGTCTGCTAGTTGGTCATGGGAATTGACAAAACTAGTAGATATTTCCCTGAACATGACTTTCTCTCTGACAAAGTGACAATCAATTTCAATGTGCTTTGTCCTCTCATGAAATACTGGATTTGAGGCAATATGCAAAGCAGCTTGATTATTACATATAAGTGACATATGTGTGACCTCTCCGAACTTTAGTTCTTGAAGCAATTGTTTGAGCCATATAAACTCCTGACTCGCTATAGCTATAGCTATAGCTCGATACTCCGTTTCCGCACTCGATCAGATTACAACATTTTTTCCAAGAGACAAGGTTATCTCAGACAAATATACAGAATCCAGAGGTGAACCTTCTATCTACGGGAGATCCTGCCCAATCTGCATAAGAATATCCCACAACTCAAGTGTGTCCTTTGTCTTCATACAAAAGACCCTTTTCTGGAGCTCCTTTGATGTATCGAACAATGCAATTCACTGGATTCCAATGTTCCTTACATGGAAAGTTAAAGAAATGACTTACTACACTCACTGCAAATGAGATATCTGGATGGGTAACAGTAAGGTAGTTCAACTTCCCTTCTAATCGTCCTTACCTTTCAGGATCTAGAAAAGACTCGGCAAGAGCTTAACATTAGGATCCATGGGAGTGTCGACTGGCTTGGAAGTTAACATTCCTATTTTTTCCAAAATATCCATTGCATACTTCTTTTGGAAAATGATGATCCCATTTTTGGACTGTGCTACTTCTATTCCCAAAAAATATTTGCGTTTGCCAAGATCTTTTGTCTGAAAATGTTTGAAGAGATGTTGCTTCACCTGTGCGATACCACAATGGTCACTACTTGTGATAACAATGTCATCAACATAAACAACCAGGTAGATGCAACCAATAGGTGAGTAACGATAGAAGACAAAATGGTCAGCCTCACTCCGAATCATACCAAACTGTTGAATCACAGTACTGAATCTGCTGAACCATGTTTTAGGTGACTGCTTGAGGTCATGTAAAGATTTTCGCAGTCGACATACAAGACCAGAGGACTCCTCCTGAGGAAAGGAGGTTGCTCCATGTAGACTTCCTCGAGTAGATCACCTTGTAAGAAAGTATTCTTGATATGCAACTGATAGATGTCCAAACAGCTAACTGACGATGGGGTTGCCGTAGTGATCGAAGGTCGGAAGGTGGTAGCACCGGAACAGTGGAGGATGGTGGCGGCAGTGCCGGAAAAAAAAAAAAAAAAAAAAAAAAGGCACCAGTGAACAGTGGGTCCACTGGAAAAAAATGGATTAAGGTTGCCTCTCTAGACTCTAGATACTATGTTGAGGGAGAAAATATTGAATCCATGTGTTTTAGGACACAGTGGAGTTATTTCAATTTATAGAGAAGAGTACATAATTACAAAATACACAGTTACTATATTTACAAGATTCTAACACATTTAAACAATAATGAGCCTAACCCAGATTGTAGGCAAGGCTCAATGCCAAAAACTTTCAGAAAAGCTAATTTATCTATCCCATATTAGACATGACATTTTATGTCTAAAAGGAAGTCCTAGATGAGGCATACTCTCTAAAAAGGGAGAGTCTCTATCCTTGGAAATAGATATATATGCGGACTATACAAGTTCCATATTAGATAGAAGATCCATTTTGAGATATTGTATTTTTTTGAGTAGAATCTAGTAACATGGAGGAGCAAGAAACAAAGCATTGTAGCCAAATCAAGTGTTGAAGCTGATTTTCGAGCTATGACCTAAGTAGTGTGTGAACTACTATGGATGAGGATTATTCTTGATGACCTCAATAAAATTCACTGGTCATGTGAAGCTTCTATCTGATAATAAGTCTACCATCAGCATTTGCCCATAGGCCATAATCCAGTCCAGCATGACAAGACAAAATATATAGAGATTGATCAGCAATTCATTAAAGGAAAACTGGATAGTATTCTCATAGCTACCACACATGTCCCTTCAAACTAGCAGATATTCACTAAGGGATTGGCAGCTGAGCAGTTGTAATAAGTCTACCATCAGAACAGAATTATCAAGTAAACCTTTTCAAAGATAATGATTTATCTTGTAATAAAATAGCTCATTTTATACTAATACATTAATACAAAAACATCTTTGCATGTAATTCATTTCGTATCTGCTCCAACACTATTTCCATGCTAGATATATGTAGCATGCAATAAGCACTCTGCTAGAACTTTATGCAGCAAAGAGGAAAAAATATGGATTAAGTAGTAAATGAGCATATGTATGCATTTTGTGCAAAAGATGTACATTTCAAGGGCAACAGATCCTTAAAAGTTGAAGCCACAGCCTCCCAGTAGAGGAGGTGAACTATCTACACACCAGAGTATAGACAACCACAAAATACTGAACACCTTTATTAAAACTTCACTTTTATCCAATGGAAAGGAATTGCAGATAAGTAATATTTATGAACAAGTTTCAAAATAGCAATTAATACCAGTTCATCAAGGTTAAATCTACCTGTAAAGAAAGAATTTGTTGTATGATGTTATCAATATCTTCCTTGAATAAAGCCAAAATCTGTTGCAATTTAGCATCCTTGTGCATAAACAAGAGTATAGAAGTAACAGCATTCACCCTAATCAAGCAGTTCCTTGTATGTTGAGTACAATTATCAGATATCGGTGACAAACTACTTTTTGTTATAGCTGATCCCATTGTCTTCAACACGAGATTCATAAGTTTGTGGCATCGGTCAAACAAGAAAAAACAAGGTAGAAGATAATAATGCAGAGTACTTAATTGAATGGAGGAAGTGCCCTGTTCATCATCATCTTCTGGAATGCACTGTGATACAATGATAATATAATCAGTTGAAAATACTAAAATCAATTAACACTAGCTAAAATTAAGACCCATTGCTTTAGAAAATAAAAAAAGGCAAAATAAGATACTAGAAACATTGTTAATAAAAAAAAATACAAGGGATGCAAAAAGTCATAAAATAAACAAGAAAATAATTAAATCAATTAATCTCAACAAAAAATTACAATCCATTTGTGTTAGAAAAAAATGAGAAAAAAAAAAGAACAAAACTGATAAATTACAAGAAGCATTTACTACAGCCCGAGAAGATAATAAGAATCTAGCATAAAATTCTTTTTGTAAAAACAAAAGATAATATTTGATAGATGTTGCTTAGAATTAGAAATGCTAGCATGAGAAAATGAAAAGATGTTGATTATTTCTGAAAAATAATACCCATAAGGTTCAAAAATTAGTTTTATACAGCCTCAACTTTTTATTAGCATGGAAAGTTCACCATAAAATTAAATTAATGCAAGAATGATAAAAAAAAAAAAAAAGAATAAAGTCCCAGCTCAATAGTTGGGTGTAAATATGATACCAATCAATCATAATATGTCAAAGATGTTCTATACATCTTGACATTCAAAACAAAACCAAGGACCAAAAGAAAAAAAAAAAACAAGTTTGTTATTTTAAATGTGAAGTATGATTTGGGACTTCCAAATGAATAAAGACACATTAAATGGGTAGGCGACAACATAGCTTGAAACATATATTGATGGCTTGTCATAGGGATTTGGGCAGCAGACTCACCAGCACAACATCCACGAGATATTCAGAAAGATGATGGCCTAGAGTGATAATGCTTTGTTCAGAAAGTCTTGTGGGCTTGCAATCAACTGTAACAAGTATTCTTAGGAGAGAATAACTATTATCCAAAGAAGGCTTTTGTGGCTGTAGTACAAAATATCAGTATGAGAACTCATTCTTCTAGAAAATCACCAAATGAGCCAAAAAGAAGCACCAGGAAAGTAAACAAACAATTGCACCAACTTACTATCTGATCAATTATCACTTTCTCTATCAACTGTAGAACAAGAGAACTGTCACCCATCTGTGCCATGTATGAGCAAAGAATAGTTGTCATTGACTTCAAAGTTTGGCTGCGAGGATCACTCTTAAAACCAGTAGAACTAATTTCTGCAAAATTAAAATAACATTTTTTAAAGCCAGAATACTACCAAAGGTAGGGTAAAATGATAGACAAGCATAGCTAATTCAATCACCCTATATGACTAGGTTAAACTTTTTCCAGGCCTAGGATGACCACAACCTACCTAGCATGTTACAATTATACATGTCAATGGTTAAATATTTCCACAATTCAGTAACTTTGTTAGCTCAAGTACTTGTGTAAATAATGTAAGTCTTGTAATGTTATCTCTAAGTTAAAAAGAAGCAGGATATAAATGGTAGGAGTGTAAATTGGATGGATCAGTAAGGATGAAAATTAGCAATGCAGATATGGAATATGTTTGTCTATTGCCAATTACTACCCCTTCCAATCTTTTCTAATCACCTACTTAGCATAATGGACAAAAAAACTAAATTGAAAAAATAAGAAATGAATATTATCAAAAGTTAGAAGTTCAAATATGTCGGCCAAAAAAGTCTCTGTGAGCTACCAGGAGAAACTTTGAAACGAAAGACCAAGGTGATGAAGACACTCAAGTAATCTGCAATTTTAATATGTCCATCTCTATAGGCTGAATGGAGAATCTCTATGATCCGAAATAAAACATAAGGATCAAGATCAGTACCTGCAATTAGAACAAATTTATTGATATATAAGCATTAACCTAGAAAACTGTACAGAATTTTGATATCATTAGAATCCAATCCTATGCATACTTAAAAGAGATTGGCTATATTGCACATTAGAAGCACCAGCACTGGAAGTTAGTAAAAAGTACTGTACAAGAGTATGCTCCATAGCTTTAACTTATCAAAACACTTATTTCTAAATATTATATGAGAGTCTCTGTGGGAATCTCTTACAGATAATTTAGGAACTATGTTCTAAGCATTAAAATTATCAATGCAACATTTACTTTTGGGGGAAACGTGCCAACTTTCAAATCAACATGATTTAAAACACATTTTAAACTTCTAGATTGATGACATGACAATCACAGGTTTTCAAATTATTTTATTAAATAAATATTGTAATCTTCAAGGACAAACTATAAATACTTCTCAAAAAAACCCACATCAAAGTAAGGAAGACTTCTATGTTATATCTCACATTAAGGCTTTGCTTGGGATATGGAAGAGAGAGAGAGAATGAAACGTTTAAAGGGTAAGGAAGGAGAGAAGGCAGGGTGATACAACCCACACAAGACAGATAACAACAGAAGTAAATAATGCAAAGAAAAGAGAATAGATGTTTGTATTATATGATAGAAAAAGGAAAATACAGAAGGAGAAGATCCCTTCTGTCCCAAAGCCTAGCTCCTTTAGAGTCACCAAAAGGTTCTCTACCCTCACCAAATTAGCAAAAGCATGAATCAATTCTCATCATCCCAATTCTAATATCAAATAACAGAATTATTCTTTCTCTTTTCTCTAACTACCCTTGTTCCCCTACGGTTGCCACCTCAACACTCACATCCCCTCTCTTTTTCTTCCTAACATATACTTTCCAAGTCACAGGCCCTTCACCTCGTGTCTTGGCCAAAGGCTCTTGAGGCGCTTTGTTCACTTGGGTCTCATCAATACCTCCTCTATGAATAGGACTCTTGTCCTCAAGACTTAGTGTAGGAAATTGACTACGGATTACAAGCCCGTCCTCCCAAGTAGATTCCTCTGCTGACTTCCCTTTCCATTGGATGAGCCACTGATTCACACGTTTCCCCTTCTTCACTATACTTCATGAAGCCAACAATGAGACAGGTTCAATTGCTTCTGAGCCTTCATCTTCTAATCCTGTAGGTAACTCAGATTCTGCAGTGTAATTCCCCATAGCCTTCTTCAATAAAGATACATGGAACACGGGATATTTTTGAAGAAGGGGGCAAATTCAGATGATAAGCCACTTCACCAACCCTTTCAACAACTTCAGAAGGTCCATAGTATCTTGCTGAAAGCTTTGGACTGATCCTAGCCGCCAAGGAATGCTGCCTGTGCTGTTTTAGTTTCAAAAACACCCACTCTCCCACATTAAAACTCCTGTCTTTTCTTTGTTTATCAACCTGCACTTTCATACGATCCTGAGCTCTTCTCAAATGCTCCTTGAGTTGTCTGAGAGCTTCATCTTTATCAAGCAGCTCTCTTTGCACAGCCTCAACCCTTATTTCCCCTTTGCATACACCTCACAATCACCGGAGGAGGACGGCCATAGACAGCCTAAGGTAATCAGCCCCTTTGTTCTCAACACCGGGCTTATATATAATCTTAAAATTTTACCCCATCAACTTAGCAACCAAGTTCTATTGATTTCCCGTCATTATAGATTGCTGCAAGAGCTGCTTGAGACTCCTTTGGTATGAATAAACCTTAAACCGTCTTCCTAACAAGTAAGGCCTCCAATGTTGTATGGCTAAAGCAACACCCATTAACTCCTTTTCATAGGCAGACTTTGATAGGTTCCTACTCCCCAAAGCCTTGCTGTAATAAGCTATGGGCCTCTTTTCTTGCATCATAATTGCCCCTACTCCACGCCCAGATGTATCACATTCTAACTCAAAACTTCTTTTCGAAATTTGGTAAAGTTAAAATTGGGGTTGTGATCACCCGTCTTTTCAGTTCTTCAAAAGCCTCTTGATTGGATTCTATTTAAATCCCTCATTTTCGGTCAATTCAGTCAATGGCTTGGCCACCTTGCCATAGTCACTGATGAACTTCCTATAATACCCCATAAGCCCCAAGAATCCTCGAACACCCTTCACATTCAAGGGACAAGTCATTCAATCACACTTTTGACCTTCTCAGGATCAACTTCTACCCCATGGACAGACACGTGTCCTAAATACTCAATACTCATCCGGCCAAAACTACACTTTTTCTTATTGGCATATAACTATTGCTGCCTCAAGGTACTTAAAACATCATTCAGGTGATTTAGATGGAACTACCAATCACGGCTGTATACAAGGATATCGTCAAAAAATACAAGAACATACCTCCAGAGCACTACACAGAAAACTTCATTCATGAGGGACTGAAAAGTGGAGGGTGCATTCATCAATCCAAAAGGCATTACTAAGTACTCGTAATGGCCTTCGTGGGTTTTAAACATAGTTTTAGATATGTCTTCTTCCTTCATATGAACTTGATGGTACCCAGATTTCAGATCCATCTTAGAAAAGAACTTGGATCCATGTAATTCGTCCAATAACTCTTCAATCACTGGTATTGGAAACTTGTCTGGAACCGTAGCCCAGTTTAAAGCCCTATAATCAACACACATCCTCCAATTATTGTCTTTTTTTTTTTTTCATCAATATAAATGGACTAAAATAGGCACCATGGCTGTGACAGATGTGCCCATTCCTTATTAGTTCTTGAACTTGCTTATCTATTTCACTTTTATGGAGATAGGGATAGCGGTATAGCCTTACATTAATGGGACCTTGCCCAGGAATCATGTTTATGGCATGTTCGGGTAAGCCCTTTGGCTCAATGAACACTTCTATTAAGATGTTGCACATTGATTAGGAATAGAGCCAGAATACTCCTAATAAAGGTCAGGGCAGTCTTCCTCCTATAAGCTAACTTTTGAGAGTGAGTTAGGCCCAAGTTTCTTAACATGGTTTCAGAGCCTATTCAATTTGAATTTGAGCTACTCACAGATGTCCAGTCCTGTTGGGTTCACCCATGCAGATGTCCAGTCCTGTAAGTTTCACGCACCAGATGCCCAGCCCTGAGCGTGAGAGGTGTGTTAAAATGTCCCACATTAGTTAGGAATAGAGCTAAAGTATTCCTTATAAGGGCCAAGGTAGTCCTCCTCCAATGAGCTAGCTTTAGGGAGTGAGTTAGACCTAAGTTTCTTAACAACATCATCAAATTGGGCCAGCACCTCCTCTAACTCCTTTTGTTGTGACTTACTCAATGTTATGTTTTCCTCCTTCAAAGACCCTTTTTCCTCAATGAGCCCTGACCCCAACAATGCTTGCAATGAAGAGCTTTTCCATTCCTTGTGGTACCCCTTTCAAGAGCCTTTGGTCATGTATAGTGTCCCACTCAACACCTGTTTCCCCCAATCGATGGTCATTTCTCCAAAGGAAATTAACCACGCCATGCCTAGGATCATATCTAGATCCTCTAGGTCAAATAGGAAGACGTCAATTACTTTACAACCACCTTAATCCCCTTACAAGCTCCAAAAGTTTCAATTTTGTGTCCATCTCCCATTAAAATTCTCATCTTCTTCGTGGACTCCCACACCCAACCCATCGTTTCCACTAGCTTGCAAGATATAAAATTATGGATAGCTCCATTGTCTACCAAAATCAACATAGGGACTTCATTTACCTTCCCTTGCAGCTTCAGAGTCGGGAGAGATTTTCCATTGCATGCTTCAAAGCTTTTAAGGCACAAAGCGCTGCATTCTTCATCGATTTTATCGCCCTCGTCATCTAGGTTTTCCCCTGTTCCCTGACTCATTTCCTCATCTTCACACGTGACTTTGATTTTAACGCCCACTAAAATAACTCTCAATTGTTTCACTGGGCATTGATGGAACGGCCCATATTGTCCCCCCACATTTGAAATACAGGCCTTTTTGCCACCTGTCTAGGAGCTCCTAGTAGGTCATGTTTATTTCCCCTCTCATGCAGCCCATTCCGTGTTTTTTCATTTCTTGCCTCTTTCTAATTTAGGCCTGGCCCATCAACACCACCCCCTGTGCCCTGTACCCTGTACCTTCTGGGTCACACGACCCACGTAATTAGAAACGGATTTTTGACCTGCATAGCTTCCTCCTCCTCCTCCTCGAGGCTCTCCTTTCCCCCACACTCCTCTGTTTCTCCCTCCTAACTCCAGCTCCACCACACGTGCGGCATTCATTATCCACTCACAAGATAACGGTTGCACCATGTTCATACTTCGCAACCACGCACATATTTCTTCACATAACTCGTGAATGAAATAAGCAAAATATTGATCATCGTGAAGCTTGGGAACCTGAGCAATCAACAATTCAAACTTCTGGATATACTTGTCCACATTTCTTGATTGACGCAAGGTCGTAAGCTGCTCATATATGCTTCCTTCTCCCAATCCTCCAAATAGTTCCATCAATTCTCTCTTAAAATCGTCCCAAGTCAGATTCTCGTAGTTGTTGAGCAGAGCATTGAAAAAGTGTATGGTTCCTCCTTTCATACATAGTTGTGTCAGGTTCACTTTCACCACTTCATTGGTTTCCTGCACTCTAAAGTATATCTCAGCTCTCGTCAGCCACCCAGCTGGGTCTTCCCTGTTGAACACGGGAAGTTCAATCTTTTTAACAGATTGATGGAACTCATCGAGGGCTTCTCCGACTAACAACTTCCATCGACTGTGTGATCCCACTGTCTTCTCCTCTCTTGGTGGCTCTTGTTCCTTCGGAACCACTGAGTTTTCCCCTTCGTCTTGGTGCACTTCCCTTGATTCCTCGTCATCAACTCTAACATCTTCAACTAGGTTTCAGCTGCCTCCTTTCTCATGGCTTCCAATGTCAATTGGTTCTGCACTCTTATGTCCACAACCACCCACAAACGCATGATTTTGCTTTTGACATTTTCAACTCTAGCCTCCATTTCCTCCGCCTCCTTAGTGACTACTGATTTCGTTCTACTGTTTTTTCCTTTTGGTGGCATCCACCGGTGATATTATCCAGCAATGTTATCCAGTAGGTCGGACCAGTTTGATACAACCCACACAAGACAGATAACAATAGAAGTAAATAATGAAAGAAAAGGGAATATATGTTTGTATTATATGATAGAAAAAGGAAAATACAGAAGGAGAAAATCCCCTCTGTCCCAGAGCCTAGATCCTTTAGAGTCACCCAAAAGGTTTTCTACCCTCACCAAATTATCCAAAAGCATGAATCAATTCTCATCATCCCAATTCTGATATCAAATAACAGAATTACTCTTTCTCTTTCCTCTAACTACCCTTGCTCCCCTAAGGTTGCCACCTCAGCACTCACATCCCCTCTCTTTTTCTTCCTAACATATACTTTCCAAGTCATAGGCCCTTCACCTCATGTCTGGGCCAACGGCTCTTGAGGCCCTTTGATAAATATTGTAATCTTCAAGGAAAAACTATAAATACTCCTCAAAATAACCCATATCAAAGTAAGGAAGACTTCTATGTCATATCTCACATTAAGGCTTTGCTTGGGAGATGGAAGAGAGAGAGAATGAAATGTTTTAAGGGTAAGGGAGGAGAGGAGAAGGGAGGGGGAGGGGGTTTAATAAAAATTCCCCAAAACTGGAGGAACATAAAAATATGGGCTAAAAGGGTTTATGAAACTTCTTTCTCTCATCTAAAAACTTCCAAATAAGGATTATCATCACATAAACCTTCTTCCCTCCCAAGAACTAACTCACAACATAACTCATCAACATAGCCCATAATTCGATCCAACATGACAAGACAAAACATATAGATATTGATCGACCCTTCATTAAAGAGAAACTAGATAATGGTCTAATAGCTACCACATTCCTTTCCAAAGGTCAATCACCAAATTGAAGAGAAATGTTGTGAACAATGTTATCAATGGCATATGGCAGGGCACGGTAGATAGCCAAAAAACTGCCATAAAGTTATGGCGGGTTATGACAATTGACAAAAGTATGTCGGATATAATAAAATATATAAAAGAATACTACAGGTCATAAGAAATGAGATATGATGAACTTGCCAGCATGTATCATGGTAATATTTAAAAATATTCATCATTCATTGTGCATATGATAATTGGTAAATTATTAAGTGATGAGATATGATGAACTCAAAACAATAAAAAATCTCAGGTTGGTGAAATTTTAAAGAAGTGTGAAAGCTTACTTAGGCAACAACATGCTATTGACTTTAAAATAGGTAAGTCCAAATGAGAGAAATAGTAAAGGGAACATAAAGAGAGCTCTTGACATTCTCGAGGAAGCCTGAGAAAAGGACCATAACATATATGTCCTAAAAGAGAAAAAAGCAATACAATTAGAAGACAAGAGTAACTATGCGTGGTGAATTATTAATATTGAATCAATAGCATGTTTGTGTTTACCTCCTTCTTGACATGTGCAATAAAAATCTTGCAATGAATTCTGCATGTTGTCATACATGTAAACAAGTGATGAATTCAACAAAGCACATTGTCCAATACGAAGTTGAAGACGTAACGCGACCTATGATGAACATTAATATCTCAAAATTCTGCCAAATCCAGGAATTTCACATAAAGAGCTGCTTTTCAAAATCAACATAACAATTACATAGGAGCAGGCTGGGTGTTTATCTCCAAGCTGCATCAGCAACAGAGGGAGATCTCTAATCCAAGCAAGTAAAGCATTTTGAAGTTCTAAATTTTCTGGATTGCTTGTCTCCAGGGAAAGCATGCTTTGGATCTAGATTTGAACCATATACAAAAACACGAGTTAATGAGGAATGAGAGAAGAGGAGAGGGTTATAAAATCATTTTCATAAGATTATCCAAGTTTCAAGAATTTCAAGGATGTTCTCAAAATGAGAGGAAGCCAAACTCACAGGAGTTAGCATATCTTCAATAGCAGAAAGACAGGCCAATTTCAGCAAGGAACCTGGTTTGCTTTCCCTGAATGTCTGGGTAAAAGCCTGTCAGTGCCACAAATTCCATTTTAATAGCAACATCAAAACCTTTACAGGGAAGGAAAAACATCAAAACATAAACACAATAGAAGTGAATACAATACCAGAATTTTTACTTTGTTTCTTATTCTCTAGAATTTACGAAGGAAATAGTGAAACAAAATATTACTTTCGGCATATCCTTCAAACATCTTGGAAACATGAAACAATTATAACAAATGACAATTTTGTAATTATAAATGAAAACTTATCAGCAGATAATGAAAACAATAAAGAAACCAAAAGCCACCAAATATTCAGAAAATCCAAATATCCAAAATTAATGACTTCCAACAAAAATAAATTAATATCTAGAATTCATGTGGCAGGTCAAACCTGAAGAAGACGAGATATTCCATAGCTTGCCCCATGTGAAACAAATTTGGGAATAAAGGAAAGGAGCTGAACTAGATGCTTTTCCCAGATAGCCTTACCAGACTGTGCAGCTCTGCAGAACTGTATATGACAAATTCCGATCAAATAGAGGAATAGAATGACTATTATTTTCAACTTAATGAAATTTAAAAGAACTAGCATATGTATTAAACCTTCCCCAGCAGTGCATTTTCAATGAACTCCAGAAATCTCTCCAACAAATCAGGAGGAAGACAGATACATTCATTTAATTCAAAAAATATTTTTGCAATGACCATGTTCAAGTCAAGCACCCTATCATAATCCTGCAAAGCAAAGGCAAAAAGAATTAGTTTATTTGAAAATAAAGGAATATCATAGTTCTGCTGCTATAAAATGGAACCCGATCACCATAATTCACCACAGTACAATTTATAGGGGTAAACTAAATATAGTTGAACATAACATCATAACATGCCAAACTTGAGAGCTGATGTCCAAAGCAAATACATAAATCAATATGTTCCTCACATGCCTTGTCAAAAGACAATTTATTCAATTTTTCAGGACCAATTGTACTTGATATTAATTCCTCAGAGGAAAACAAAATTTATTGAAGGGAAAAGCAGGAATACAACTATGAGGATAAGATATCCTCCAAACAGAAGAGACAAGAAAAAGTATTATGACAGTCTATCCTCGAACCTAATTAGGGAATGGACCTGACTTAATTCAGGAATCTCCTTAGTAGGCATACAAAGAAAATTTTGAGAGCTACATCTCCTCCTGTGTACTCTGTCTTATCTTCTTAAAAAAATGTCTTATTTACAGGTAACAACCAAACCAATACCTAATTAATTAACTTAGCAAACCAGAATATTTGATGAAATGTAGTCAAATTTACATTGAATGAATTATAAAGGGGGAAAATAGCCAATCTGAAAAGCTCTATCTTCTCTTTAGACTCCCAGTTTACAATTATTGTTCTACTCCCCATTACCCACTAAAGCGTAAAATAAACACACACACACACAAACACGCACATACCCTTTCTGAAAGTTGATGCACTGGATTGAGGGGGAAAAGTGGAAATAATTTCTTCAAGAGTGCAGATGAGATAGCAACATCCCACACAGCCAAATGAGGTCCACCTTGAGTACTTGGGGATTCTGCATCCTTATCAGTCTCATATGCAAAAGACCTAACTATAAGATCTATGCAATTAAGAATGGATGCCATACAACCAAAAGACTTCCCTTCAAGACTGTCCATACCATGAATCAATGGAATAAATTCCAGGAAACTATTTATTAATACTGGCACTAGATCCTTCAGTTTCTTTATGATATGAGAAAAACCTACAGAAAGAGATAAAAATGGAACAGGGCGGTCAAACAATTATTGAGAACATAGAAAGCTTAACAAACCTATTAGATATTTGAAAATTATGCAAACTCATGCAACAGCAGTCAATTAGTTATTTCTTTCAAAACCAAAATGTATTTTTTACGTACCATTAGAGCTCATAGCCATATCAGCTTCAAAAGCATGTAATACCCTTTGCCCAGTATCATCCTATCAAAATTAGAAAAACCATTAGAAATAAATTAGAATGCAAGAACGGCAGACAAAATAAAATCTGTGTTAATCACAGTGAGAAGATGTTTTACCCAGCAGAAACCTACCAGGTCTGAAAAACCTAGACTTTATATCATAAGTCATAACTCCCACTCTCTCATAATTTATGTATTTATCCAGATAGTAATGTGTATTATGATTTGTGCAATATTATAAAGTACTAAACCTATCCTGAGCAAAAGTTACAAGTTGGCATAATTCAATCGCTGCATAAAGCTAGAAGTGGAAAAAAAATGACAAAAGAGATTGCCAAAATAAAAAAGCAAGAGCAGGTTTATGTCATGCATAGAAATACCAAAGCTTACAAAGACTGGACAAAGCATTTCAAATTGTTGACTCGTGTCACAGAGTCTTACCAATATTAACAATTAAATAAAACACAATACCTTATTATGCATATCAGTTTCTTCTTTATTCCATGGCAGGAGTGACAAGCAGCGAACCAACCCAGCAAGAGCATCTTTTAGTTTTCCTTTGTCTTGTAAATAGTACTGGTTCTTCCTTAGAATATCCTCATAATTCTGAAAAATCTGTTAACCATCCAACCAACCAACATTACAGGGAATTATAAGCCTCAAATACAGAAATACATTACAGGAAAGATATAAAATTCAATTCAGGAAGGTTCAAAGAATAAAAGTATGCAGATGAAGAATAGAATAAAACAACAGGCTAGGATATAAATAAAAGAATGACGGCACACAAACCCTTTATGACAAACCATGGGAAATAGAAATGCATTCAGTCAGCATGTATTTTGCCAGCAAAACTAAGAAATAATTAGTAGAAATATTTTTTGTACTTTGAAACAAATTTCATGAATTTCCTCAGACTCAGACAATTGTTCAAACTGCATAGTTAAAAACATCATATCGACCAGATGACAATTCAAAATAAAAGGAAATTGGAAATAAGAATATTTAAAATAACAAGGAAATTGCTCAAGTAAGTTTTAAGCTATTGTCGGGGAAAACACAACAAGTTCTGTCAAACCCAAAGATATTTAAGCATTAGCTTGTTTTTCACTTTCTATTGCTAGGCAACATTCCAACACAAAAAGTAATTTAAAATTTAAAGATCCCTTGCATGAAACTGCATAACAAAAGTGCGGATAAAGTGATTCTTATTTTCACTGATCTAAGAATGATTACAACAGAGGTATTTAAAGGAATAGAATTCCAAATCTGAGCTCAAATACAAGCCTATAATTCTGTAATTACAGCTGCACATTAGAGAAATCAGGGATTATGGTTTATTTTGGAAAAGATAACTTCCTGATTATGGTGTGCACCAGATCCTGATTAATTGTTGCCTTAACGGCACTGGATTTCAACTTATTTCTTCCTTAATGTACCGACAAAAAGCATTGACACTTGGCCAATATATAAATAAAAGCTTCATCTGTCAAGAGGTGGATGCAGTATCCAATTACAAGGGCATCAGTAAATTGACAGGAGCCCACAACAGCAGCTATTGCATGAGTAAATCACCTACAACCCTTCCCCCCATCACCATCAAACAAAGAGTAGCATCTTGAAACAAAGCACAAGATTTCGAGGGGCAATTCTAACATATTGGTAAAGAAATTTAGAATACGGACAGATAGTATCACCTTTTCTGCATAAGAAGAAAAGGAAGGAGGATAAAACTCAAGAACAAGGTCTAAGAAATCAAATGCCATGATCCGAATATCAACCGCCAAATGAGTCATTGCATTGAAAATGTAAGCCATCAATAGAGAAATGATCAGCTCTTGATTATCCTTCAAAATATAGGGAGAACTGAGTATCAGAATAAGGCAAATGATGTTAAATAAAAAAAAAAAAATCTTTACTGTAATGATATAATCATATAAAGATTACAGGATGCATCACAGGAAAAGACAATAGATCCTCAGAATCAGAATTCAAAAACAATGAGGATAGCAATCAGCCTCAGGTAGTATATGTAATGCAGCCTGACATCTTATGCATCATAGATTAATAACCAGAGGCAATATAACAAAACAGAAATCATGAGAAAAAAACATCATTTATTTTTTCAAGAGAAAAACATATCAAGTATCAGGTTTCCAACTTGGTAACTGCAAAAGAATATAATAAGGATAGTCTTCCTCTAAAGTGAACATGTCTCTGAAGTAAGCAACTAGGAACTATCCACCCTTGAATTTTAGTGGATTAAGATAAAAATGCATCTTAAATTAATTTAAAAGTGGGCACACTGTTGCTAGCTCAGTTTAGAGACAAACTCAGTTTGGAGCTTTTTCCATGTTATAATAAAAAACACGGTAATCTATATATGTATCCGTCACTTCCATTTAATTGCATATTTCAATATCACTTTAAAAAGAAAAACTAACATGTATCCATTTGCATTAGTGTACCATAATAAAATTCAACAATTCTGAATAGAGAAAACATGAAATGATGATGCACTGCACCCCCCCCCCCAATGACAATTATGGAAAGATGTTTGAGTCATAAAATCTTGCAGGAAATATATATATATAATCTTCTGAACAAATAAATGATAAGCACATTATTTTCTAAAAGGCAGAATATTCTGAAGTCAAAAGATCAAAATATTACCACAAAGGTATATTTAAACTAATTTTACAAAATTTGATGAATTGGAAATTAATATTTCCCTGATTGAAATCCTTTACAAATGCTATATATTTGAGTTTCTAAGAGATAAAAAGTTTCTCTGCAAAACATTTGTATAAATGCAACAAGTCAGAATAGCTCAACAACATATATTTTTGGGTGAATGAGTAGGGTGTAGGATGAAAATATTGTGCATCTTTAGCTGGAGAGTGGTTAATATGGCAGGAGCATGATTCCAGAACTTTTAGCTATAAATTTCTTCTACACCCCCCCCCCTTTGGGTATTGTGGACCTTTGCTGATAAAATTTGAAAGGGTGTATCTAATTCAAGCAAGCACAGGGCTGCACTTTTTAAGTGATGCACTTTTTCATTGTTTCTTTTCTCTCTAGTGTGTCATATGCAGCTTTAGGACAATTGTTGATCCTCCTGCTTTGTATTATTTCTTGCTTCTACATGAACTCTTATGAAAAAGAGAAGAGAATAAACGCTGCAGCCTAGAATATTTTATGCTTCCAAATGATGATGGAGCATCTTGACAATTTGTCAGAAAGTAATGTAGTAAACAAAACGGAAAGTACCTCTTTACATCCAGGTAATATCACTGCTTTAAAAAGATCGTATAATGATTTTCGAACCACTTTATCATCATCACCAATGCGCTCACGAATTTTTTCTACAGCAGCATATTTGTGCAACTTCAGTTCAGCTGGATATCTGATGAATAAGTCCTTAATACCCATCAATGCATCTGTATTTTTTGGGGTGGAAAAAAAATAGTATTAATATAAGGACCACTGAATTTAAACAAAAATTTGAATGCTCAACTGGATTAAATTAGGAAGCAATATTAATTTATCATATCAAAGGTCAAAAAATAAGAGAATATTAGGAATAAAAACTGAGCCAACAAAGTGAAGTAATCATGACATGCCATTAGAGTAAATTTCATAAGATCCAAGCAATATAATTACGATTAAATTAATCTGTTAGTCTCTGAACTTTTTGCTAATGTTTAAATAGGTTCCTATACTATAAAAGTTTATAACTGGAAATTTATTTTCAATTGGGTCTGCAGGTTAGAATTTTGTCAAACTGAACAGAATATTCTTGATACATATTCAAGTACAAGGACCTATTTGAAAAGTCTCAAATAGTTCAGGAACCAGGGCACTAGTTTAATTATTCTATAGGTCCCTCCCTGAACTATATGGAAATTTTCAATAGATCCCTGTAATTTGACAGGGATCAAGAATATCTGATTTGATAGACCCCGCTAAGTCCTAACCCAAAGACCCAATTAAAATGATTTATGTGTTCATGGTCCACAATTAGTTGGTTTGAGGCTTAAACTCAAACCGAGCTGATCTCCACCATTCCTAAAATTGTATAAACTAAACCAGAACCAAGGTTTTGATTTGGTGGTTTGGTTCCAAACCAAGGGTCATTGCTATTTCAATTCATAAAAATGTTCTACTAATTATAACACAAAATACATTACATTTGTAATTCTATAATAGATAGAATTACCTAAGTACCTCATACATTAGTCATATTCCCTATCCATGTTAGTAGCAAGTGCATAAGTACAAATTGGCTCAAACTTTTAAGATTAATCAATAACTGAATAAATTAACCTTAATTGAGCTGAAAAATTTTGTTCAACTCAGTTTATCAAGATTAATCTTTTTGAGGATTCTATTGCTTTCAAACACAGAATTTTTTTCTGTATAGAATTAATCACACTTAAACGCACATTTAAAGCCAGTCATACAATGACAACACGTTCAAAAAAATAAACATATACCTCTACGAACTTTTGCATTGTGATGAGATGTTTGCTGCAGAAGTTCTTTCAGAGTCAAACCTTTTTTGTTCACAGCTAAACCAGCCTTCTCCGCTGCTACGCTCTGCTCTGGCAGAACAATTGCTGTAAAGAAGACAGTCCACATTGTTATTTTCATCAATAAAAACAAACACGTAATTAAGTTGATATAGCAAATTTCACCACGTCTCTTGCACTTTGCCTCACTAACACAGAAAATTGTAAATAAACACATCACAAACAAAACCTATGCAAAAATTAGAGGAGAAGAATACCTTTAGATTTAATTTCAGTATTAGTAGTATTCTTAGGCGGTGGCAGTTTCCTCCCAACCTTCCGCCTTATTTTCTGAAATTTTGAAACAAGTGACACGCATTAAAAGGCTTCAAAAAACACATAAACATAGTTACACATATAACAGGGTTGTGCTGGGACAATAGAGGAACCTTAAAGTCGATGCCATGCTGCTTCTTGGAGTTGGCTTTAGAACGAGTCATGTTGCTCTAATAAGAAGAAGCTGTTTTAGATTCTAGTGTCCTTCATTCGAACTCACGGGAAGCAAAATTGTAATCATAAATAAACTTTTCTCAAGTTTAAAAATAATCAGTGAAGTTCTGTAGGAAGAAAAAGTTATACACTACACTGATCGTAAAGCAAGCGAGTAACATATAACAAACAACAAATAATAATGGTTTGAATTGGGAGCGAGAACGGATTTTCTAACCTAAGAACGTTACCAGAAGGTTGGGCCTTCCTCTGCGGTGGCCACAAGACGAATGTTATAATAATCCAACACCCCCATTTTCAGAGCCCAATGGATTCTTGTCATAGAACCATGGGCTTTTCTATTTTTTAACTAGCCTTTTGAGCTTTAACATTAATTTAAAATATGTTTTTTCTCTTTGATTATTTATCCAACTGAATAATTGTACATTCTTTAATTTATTTTATTAATATTAAAATTTATTAAATATTAATTTTAAAATATTCAATCAAATAATTTTTATTTTATTAAAGCATAATGAATATTTAAACAACATTGGTCAATCAACTATATTTAGATCTTTCAAAACTCATATTTCTAAATGCCTGTATTTTGAAATTTAAATTTGTTATTATAAATAAAATAATTTTGCCTTTGTTACATTAATTTTAAACACAAGAATTTTTAATATTTTATACTTTACCTAAATTTAAAAATATTAATCAAATATATGAAAATATATACTAGTATTAAAAGAAATAAGAGTTAATGTATTGTCTTTTGAAATGTATCCTTGCACATTTCTATTTCAAAACCAAAGAGTGTAAAGTAAGTTTATAATTCTTTTAATAAAAAAAATTGAAGTGATCAAAAGGTGGAAATTCTTTTTAGGTATTTTTTTTAATGGGAATATATCACACCTAACATGTCATAATTAAAAAAAAAAATAGAATCCTTGTTCTACCTTCTTCGCATTATCTAAATTCCAATAATTTCAACAGCCAAACTTGTTCACTGTGCGTTGATTATTATTGAATTCAATATCTTGATTATATCTTAACTTTTATACAGTTAGCCAAAAATGGTAAAGAGTATATACAAAGAGTAAAACAAATAAGTGGTTCACATATCAATTCAAACAGCGAAATAGCATGCATGAATATATATATATATATATATATATATATATATATATATATATATATATATATATTCTTTATTAATAATTAATAATAATAATAATACTAATAAAACAACCAGATTTAAAAAGTTAAACAAAGTAATAAATTCTTTTTTTTACCATTATCCGTTTATAATTTAAGTTTATGAAAACACAATCGTGATAGTATCTTTAATAAATATATTCAGGTTATTTTTTTATTATGGATTTTTTAATAAAATTACTAAAATATAACATTTTTTATAAAATTATCTGAATATGGTATATGTAAAAAAATGCTAATAGCAATTTTAAGGCGCAAAAAAATAAATTTTCATAAATTAAACTCACTATTGGCAATTTTATAGCACAAAAAAAATAATATTTTATAAAGTAAAGTTGTCATTGGCGAGTTTAGCGAAAGAAAAAGTAAATATGATCGGTAAAAATTGTCATTAACAACCTTTTATTCTAAAAAAAAAAGTTTTATAATTTTTTAAAACTCGTCAACGACAACCTTGACCAATATAAATTTTTAAAAATTATTATAAAACATCATTAGTAATTTTTAATTGATGAGGTTATAAATATTGAAATCTCCATTCATAGCAACTAGTCACTACAACCATTTGAACCACTTCTTAAAAAGTGTATGTAAAGCTTGTGTATTTATGGAAAAAAAAAATGAGTGTGTCTGTTGTAATTTATTTTAATGGTGAGATTATACCAAATTCAAGTGAATGTGTGACATTTGCATGCGAGAAGCCAATATGTGCGTATATTCCATATAATGTACCATTTGAAGATTTAAAGTATTAACTTTGTCAATAAGTTCATGAAGTTCCGATTTCAAAAACAGTAAAAAGTGTTATGTACGATGTCCAATGTCGATATTTAGCGATTTTATGCAATATCATTCAATTTCATTAACCAACGATGATGATGTTCAACAAATGTTTCAGATACATCAGCAACAGCATCCTCCAAGTGGTACGATTGAGTTGTATATTGTTTTCAAAAGTAATGAGATTCAAGAAAAATTTGTCATGCTACTTGAGACAGAGATAGATTCGGAACACAACATCAGCGAAAGTGATGACTACGACTTTGAAGGAGAATATCAAAGTGATAAGGATCTTGATGATGATGCTGATGAAGAGGAGACCAATATGGGTAGGCAACATCCTTTTGAGGAGTCACCCTTCATGCGTGAATTAGATATTGATGCTATGAATGCTTCTAAGTTGTCAGAGTATGCAAACTTAAGTATGTGAAATTTGTAATTATGTTAGTGAGATTTATTTTAGTTTTGTTAATTAATTTATGTTTGCTATTGGTAGGAAACACAGAAAGAGATGATAAATTGTATGTTTAAAGACAATTCAGTAACAAAGAAGCTGTTATAAAAATAGTAAAGTATTACAGTGTATCAAAAGGAGTGGACTACAAAGTGTTAGAGTCAGAACCAAATACTTTTTGTTGCAAATGTGTAAGATATGACTTAGATTGCAGATAGTTTTTTTGAGCTAGTTTCAGGAAGAACGAGTATATTTAGGAAATCTAAAAATATAATGGTCCACACACTTGTATTGTTGCAATCATTTCTCAAGATCACAAAAAGTTAGATACAAACACAATTGTAGAATGTATAAAGCTAATGGTAGAATATGATCCTTCTTTTAAAATCAAAGTAATGATTGGAAAAATTCAATCTCGATTTGGATACAGGATAAGTTATCAGAAAACGTGGTTGACAAAACAAAAGGCAATCAAAAAAGTATTTGGTTACTAGAAAGCCTCATTTTAAAGTTTTGCCACAATAGTGCATAGCTATATGTGATGTTGTTTGAAGATCTATTGTGAAATTAGATGCTGCAAAGGTTTATTGCAATGATGAAATGGTTCCCAATGTTCAAATATTACAATGAATGTTTTGAAGTTTTGGTCCTTGCATTAGAGCATTTCGACATTGCAAGCCACTTATGCAAGTTGATGAAACTCATTTATATGGCAAATATAAGGGAGTTCTACTAATGGTTGTTGCATAAGATGAAAATTAGAATATACTGTTGATTGCATTTGTTGTTGTTGAAGGTGAGACAATAAATGCGTGAAGTTTTTTCTTTAAAAATTTATGAAAATATATTGTTATCAATGATAGTGTTGGCATGATTTCTGATTGTCACGAGTTAATTATATCAGCAATAAGAAGAAGCAATGGCCAGTGGAAACCTCCAAGAGCAGGAATATAGAGTTCATCTAAGACAATTATTGTGATTGTGAAAACATGCAAACTGATATATATCTATGTCGCCACATCATTACTGCTTATTGTAGTCAAAACATTGACTAGTGTACTTATGTGAATGAAGTTTATACAATCAATGAAGTATGCAAAGTCTACAAGAAGGAATTTGGGGTTGTCGGTAATGAATCTAATTAGCGCAAATATTGAGGTTAGAAGTTTTGCACTAACCCCGCCTTAAAGCATACTTTAAAAGGTCATCCAAAATCAACTCATTTTCTTAACAAAATGGATTTACGACAAATGAGGCGGCCACCACGCTGTAGTCTATGTCGAGATGAAAACCATAGTCATCCTAATGCTCCTGGCCCTGGTTCATAGTGTGGAGTAGTGATAATTTGCTTGTTGTTATGTTGTTATTGATTGTGATGAACATTATTTTCTTTTATATTAATGTGTTATTAGTATCTTGCACAATAGGAGTTAAAATACGTTCTCAAACATGCACGAACTTGAAATATATAAATTACAACTGACTACTACAGATACCACTGATACAGAAAATACTAATAACTTAGTGACAAGTACAGACACCACTGATACAAAAATTACTATTAACTTAATGACAAGTACAGACACTACTGATATAGAAAATACTATCATCTTTTTTCCTTTTTCTTCTTTATTAAAGAATGACTATATCTATCAAGAGGATGTGTAAAGGGACATAACATGCGAGAAAGAAATCTCCTTCGTCTTTCTAGTTTACTTGCATCCTCTTGAGTGTCTACCTCCTCATTTGTTGCATTCCTATCTAATTTCTGGCTCCAATGCATTTTCTAATGGTTGAGCATCTATGTATTCTTGAGGCGTGAAATCCCACGAGCTAATCATCATAAATCATTGCACAAATAGAGTATCATACATTGGTTTTGGTCGATACATATCCTTCTCATGTACAGAAACATCTTCCTTAGTTGGTTCTTCATTTAAATCAAAGTTTGTAACTAGATTGCTTTGAGAAGGTGAAGTTGAATCTATCACAAAATCATATGTTAAAATAAATTCATGAGAAAATCCACTAGTACTACTACAATCAATTGACCTTTGACCCATTTCCTACCTGCTTGTTCGACCACATCCAACATTTGCCCTACCTATAGACATACATCCTTGTTGTGATGGTAGTGATTGTTCATCCCATTGAAAAGGTTGTCACTCATTCCTTTCAGGTGACCAATAATACTCTTGATTTGGTTGTACAGAAGCTAATGAAATATCTTATGGCTGGATAGGTGGTGCATCCATAGGAATGTCCTCATGCTCAGAAAGTGACGACTCTATAGGCAACAATTATTGTTAAGGTGCTAAGTCTTGCATCTGTGGAGATAACTATTGTCAATCCATTGCATACAATGTGTACCATGCCCAATATTTATTAGAAGAATAGAAATTTTGATGTTAGACTCCTTCTAAAATATGTTCATGTTGATGCTCCTACATTGTCACCCACTTGTGATGTATGATTGCGCAATTATTTAGTTCTTTTGCTCCACGTAGGTCTCTGTTATGGACTCTTTCAAGTTGTTGAGGCTGAAAAGGAATAGGTTGAGCATATCCAAATTGACACATCACAAGGTAAATTGCATGCCACTCTATAACTTCAAAACACATAAAAGGACTAACAGTTGACTACACTTATTGTTCACGCCTCACTTTATTTGAAGTTATTGCATCAATTTCATCATCCACATATAGTGTCTACAAAAACTACAATAAACAAAATTTATTAGTGTTAATCCTCATTAAAAAA